ACTCTTGCTCAACACTTTCCTGGACCCTTATCTGTTTCCATTTCCTGTCATATGCCGCCTAACCCTGGTCTGGGCTCTAGACTGCAGATTCCTGGGACAGACGGAGACAGACAGCACTTTCTTGGTGGGACCCTTACCCTAGGACTCCAGACAAGGTGACTTCAGGTTGGGGTTTACTGGAAGGGTCCTCAAGGTGGGGAATCTCAGGTACAAAGGGAGTTGAGACATAGCTGGAATAATACAAAATTCACAGATGGTTGTTACTGGGTTCGTTCTGAGTGAGAAACCCCACGTTTTTCTGAGTACAACTGTATACCATAGGATTTTCAAGGCTATGTGTATGGTCTTTTGGAAGCAGATAGCCAGATCTTTCCTCCTAGGCACCTCTGGATGAGTTTGAACTGCCAACCATTTAGGTAGTCGTTGAGTTCGTAATGGATTTCACCACAGGAATATACTAGTAGGAGGTGGTCAAAGAGACTAAAAGTCCTGGGCTAGTTCCTCTTCATGGAGAACTTCCTGATCTGCCTGGTTGTCAGTTCCATCAGGGCAGGGAGATTATAGAATTTTCCCACGAAGTCTTTAAAATCCCCTTGTATTCATTGCCAAGTGCTAAGTGAGGGTTTTCAGATTTGAGCTTTTGAAAGAACATTCTGGCTGTGGTGTGGTGATTGGCTCCTAAGGACCAAGTGTAAGAAAGTGGGGTGCTGGGTACTTAGGAGAGGGAACTTGAGACAGGGTGGAAAGGTGGAGAGGGCCTTTATGGAGGCAAAACCAAAAGGGCTTTGTGATGACCTGGATGTGGATGTGGGAGAGAAGGGTGGCCAAAGAGTGTATTGTTTCTATCTAAAGTGAGCAAATTGATGCTCAGAGAGGGAGAACTCCTTGTCTGAGGTCATGTACTCAGCGTCTGAAGCAGAATTTCAATCCAGGGCTGTGTGAAATTTAAACTCATGCTTTTCCTCCAACTCCAAAAGTCTCTTCTTTGTCTACCCTCACTTCCTTGATCTCTCACTTATGTGCAAGGTTATGAGCTACATCTAAACTCTAATGACTCTTACATGTCAATATTACATGTCTTTCTCCAGCTGAGAACTTTCTCCTCCTCTGTAATCTCATGTATCCAGCTACCTATTTAAAGTCTAAATCTGAGTTGGAAGAAGTACAACCAGCAAGCCCTCTAGAAGTGAGGAAGTCGAGACTTTGTCTCATGTACTTTGCCGTGTTATCTACAGAGACCAAGTCCTGCAGAAGTGCATCATTCTTGAAAAACTAGTGAGCCACCAAAAAAGAGGAAGACCCCCAACGAGATGGATTAGCCGAGTGGCGGCATTGATGGACTCAAGCGTGGCAACAGTAGTGAGGCTGGCCCAGGATCAGGCAGTGTTTCGTTCTGCTGTACATAAGGTCGCTATGGGTTGGCACTGATTCGATGGCACCTAACAACAACAATAGGACCAGGCAGTGCTGGTCTTATGAGTTGGAACTGTTTCAATGTCATCTAATAACACTTATTGTCTAACAGGCACCTCAGACTGAGACCTGATCTCTTCCCAAACCTGCTCCCCTACTGTGTTCTCCATTGCACTTGATGGCTACTCCAACATCCAGGAGTTCAACAGCCTTGGAGTCAATCCTTCCTCTCGTCCTCTTTTCCTCTCTCCGCATATTCACAGGATTGGTTTCCATGGACTTTCCCCCCTTGCCTGTGGCTCATATTTTCCTGTTACTTCAAGTGTCTAGTGGTTTTTAGTTGCAGACTAGACATTATGCATGATGTATTATAGAGACTGCATTGTTATGTTCCTCTGAAGCATTAGTTTTGTTCTGGCAGGCAGTTAAGTTGACTGGGCTCTAACTCGAAACTTTGTCTTTCCTGTGATCAGCAACAGCTGAAATCTCTGCTTAGTTCTTCAGAATCCCAGCTATTGCATTTTCATCAGGCCTCTGGGGGTCTTACTTGAATACGCACAGCGTCATTGTCAGCCAAGGATTTGGATGGATTTAGCATGCACGTATTGGGGTTGTCACTTCATGACTCCCCCATTATCTTTAAAACATTCAGAATGTCCAGCAGCCTGCTCTGAACTCTGTCCTCTCACACCAACAGCCCATGAAGCTTCCGCTTTTGCTACTGGTCTTGTAGAAGTTGCTTCGTTCCTGAGAACTAAAGGCTGCAAATCTACAACTGTGACGCTGTGCGGTTCCTTTTCAAGGGCTGTATGTACTCTCCTCTTGTTTCGATCTGATTTTGATTGCTCTCCAGTGTCTTCCAGTGATGGGTCTGTTTTAAATCTTCAGTCCCAGTTTCTTAATTGTTATTAATGAGATTACTAGTCTGATGAGGCTCTGTTGACATCACCCAAATCCAGCAGCCCCATTACAACTTTCTAGGGGGCCCTAGTGGCACATGGTGCAGCTCTTGGCTGCTAGCTGAAAGGTTGTTGGTTTGAACCTACCTAGCTGCTCCCCAGGAGAAAAGAGCGTGTGATTCACAACCACTGTCATTGAGTTGGTTCCCATTCATAGCGACCCTGTAGGACTGAATAGAGCTGCCCTCATAGGATTTCTGGTTTGGAAGAGGTGCAGCCAGAGTGCTCCTTGGAGGCCAGGATGGCTAAGCTTCGTCTCTCCTACTTTGGACATATTGTCCGGAGGAAACAGTCGCTGGAGAAGGATGTCATGCTGGGTAGGGTGGAGGGTCAGAGAAAAAGAGGAAGACCCCTAACGAGATGGATTGGCCAGGTGGCATCATTGATGGACTCAAGTGTGGCAGTGGTAGTGAGGTTGGCCCAGGATCGAACATTGTTTCGTTCTGCTGTGCATGGGGTTGCTATGAGTCGGTTCCGACTCGATGGCACCTGACAACAACAACAACAAATGTTGGCAAAAACCCTAAGTCCAAATAAGTCACTTTCTAAAATTCTAGGTTTACAGGGTCACCAACTCAGCACACTCACATTCTCTCTTCCCTCTTCTCTGTCTCCTTCTCCTTTGCCTTCATCCCAATGGCTTCATTCCTTGCTCTGCTTCTGTCTTCTCCCCTATTTTCAGAGCACTAACCAAGGAATTCATGCATGGCAAAAATGGAGACGCCACGACCAGTAGCCTGGTGTGGTGCTGTGGGTTAATGCACTAGATTGCAAAGTCATTTGAACTGCAAGTTTGGTGGTTCAAGCTCACCAGTCTCCCCTCAGAAACCCTATACAGGGTCGCTGTGGGTCAGAATTGACTCAACGGCTGAAAACTTGATGGTGGAAACCCAGCCCGAGTTGCCTTAGAAGACAGCCTGGAAATCTGCATTTGAAAGGTTATAGCTTTGAAGTCCTTCTGGAGGTGTTGTATGCACATGCGGGGTCGCTGTGAGTCACTTGCAGAAACTAATAACAGGATACATCTAGACAGCTATAGCTCTTAAAATAGCTACCTCAGAAGACTGTATATTTATTTTCAATCTGTAGGATCAGCACAATGTTGGCAGTTCAAACCCACCAGCTGCTCCTTGGAAACTCTAAACGGGATCGCTATGAGTTGGAACAAACTTGATGGTCTTTAACAACCACAACCAGATTGGGTGCTCAGAGATAAAGGACCGTGAGCCTGGTTAAAATCTAAGGAGGATGTTCCATTCTAAGTGTTTTCCATTTTGTCCGATATGGGAGGGTCTGGTGATAAAGAACTGCTGGTCACTACCAGCTCCTGCTCTGCTGAGCTCCTCGTCTGCCCGCCTTTCCAGTTGAACCCAGCCCTTTGCTGACCCCGGGCCAGATGACCAGCCTTCATTACCAAGGACTCCTGACGGGCGTGTTCTTTATGCCAAGGAAGGATGAGGAACCCCAGTTTGTGAGGATGTGTAATTTCACATCATTAACCGCCATGTTCCACATCTTCCAGATGTTTCTTCTCTGATATCGTTGGTAGCACCCCGATAGGTGGCTCAAGGTCATTTCTCAGGCTCAAATCCCACCCACTTTCCACGTGACCTCACTGCCACAAGGCCTGTGGGGAAATCAGATGCTGCCAGCAGAGGGCGCAGGAGGTGAGCCTGTTGCAATGGGCGGAGACAGGTGTGAATCTTTCTGGAGGCTCTGGAAGAAGGCATTTCCTCTCTTTCCCACATTATAGAGGTCACCTGCATTCTTGGACTTCTGACCCCATTCTCCTGTTACTCAGATCTCTTCCGTCCATCCTCACATCTTCTACAATTCTGATGTCCTGTTTGCTCTTTGTAGGACCCTTTTGACTCCACTTTTAAGTGCCATCGAGTCAGTTCCAACCCATAACGACCCTGTATAGTGTTTCCTAGGAGTGACTGGTGAACTTGAATCGCCAGCCTTGCAGTTCAAAGGGCTTGCATTGTACTCTGGCTCATTAACCCACAGCACCACACCAGGACTCCTTTGATTCCATTTGTTGTTGTTGTGAAGTGCTGTCAAATCGGTTCCGACCCATAGCGACCCTGTATAGGGTTTCTGAGGAGCAGCTGGTGAGCTTGAACCGCCGACCTTGCAGTTCAAACAGCTTTGCAGTCTGGCACATTAACTCACAGCGCCACACCAGGACTCTATTAGTCCCAGCCTTATAAACCAAGACCATTCTCACAACACCAGGTCCTTAACTTCATCACATCTGCAAAGTCCGTTTTCAGGTGGGAAGTAACATAGTCACAGATTCTGGGATTAGGAGGTGGACATCTTTGGGGCCACTAGTCTGCTGACCACAGAGTCTAAGGAAGGAATGGCTTGTTCAGCACTGAGCTGACATGAGGACATCACCCTGACACCAGACCCACAGAGAAGGAGCGCACTAGGATGGAGGCCATGTGGTGAGCAGGTGTAATTTGATCCCTTGGACTCACACCACCCTTCCCTCAGGTTCAGTACTCTCAGAGACACAACTCTGTGACTTCAGAGGACAAACAGCTAGCCCTTCAGCGACCCTCAACCTCTGCCACCATCCCAGCCAGAGCCACTCTTCTTCCTCTGCTGAGGACCCCCACCATGCTGGGAGCAGGAAGCAGCAGCCACTGGAGAGGGGAGAAGACCAAGGCTGGACTGGTCACAGCCATGCTGCTCCTAGGTCAGGGATGTGCACCTGGGTGGAGTGGGGAGGGACTGAGCCTGATCTCAGACCCCATGGGAGGGACAAGACTCACCCAGCACCCTGTGTCCTGCAGGATTCTTCGTGAACACCTCAGTTGCAGCCGTGTTCCGTAAGTGATATGCTGGACCACCCTGGGAGTGAGTTCCAGGGCAGGGGGGAGGTCTGCAGTGGGTCTCTCCTTCTCTAACCCAGGGAAACCCTGACCCTGGTTATTTCTAGAAATTGAAGAAAAGCCAACACTCTGGTTTGAGGGAGGGTCACCGGTCCATCCCTGGGACAATGTGACTCTGATATGCAAAGCCATCCAAGCTACTCAAGTCTTCCGGCTGCTGAAGGATGGGGTGGCCCAAAACCCTGTCAACCTCAGTTTCTCTGCCTCTGAGTATCGGTTTCCTCTGGGGAAGGTGACAGAGGACATGAGGGGCATCTACCGGTGTGACCATCGATTGTCCAACAAGTGGTCCCGGATTAGTGATCTGGTGGAACTGACAGGGAGAGGTGAGTCTTGGCCACACAGAAGCAGAGAGACTTGGGGAGCAGCAAAGAGGAGGAGGAAGAGTTGGGGTTTGTGTGGGGTTCAAGGAGGTGACTCTGGAAGACCCATGCCTCTCCTTTGTCCTGCTCTACTGTGTTCTTCTTAAGCATCTGCTTACCCAACCCTCCACTCTTTCTCAACCTTGTTCTTTCTATCTAAATTGTATGAGTTTCTTATGGTTATGAAACATTATACTAGAAAGTAGGACACTTACAACAAAAGTAATCTATTTTCTCAGGGTTTTGGAAACTACAAATCCACATTTAAAGCAAAGTTGATTCCATCTGAAGACTTGGTGGAAGAAATGATTCCAAGTCATTCTTTTAGGTTCGCATGACGGCAGAGAATCTCATGCTTTCTTTGTCTTGTTACATACAGCACTGCAAATGCTCCTCCATCTTCATGTGAACATTTGCTTTGTGTGTATGCTAAGGACTCATATGACATCCTCTCACTCTGTCTGTATTTGAATAGCTTCCTCTTTTAAAAAAAATAATTTATTTTATTTTTGGTGAAAATATGCACAGCAATTCAACTATGAATACATGTACAATTCTACAACGTTCATGGCCTTTCTCAGTGTGTGCACCTATTCATTCTCTTCTTCCACATGATTCCAAGTTCCCTATTCTCGAAACTTTCCATTGAATCTTACATGTTGCTAGTGTTGAGTGTGGCCCTGGGAATTCATGGGCTGGACTGCAAGGTCAGTAGTTCAACCTCACCAGTTGTTCCACAGAAGCCCTATATATGGTCGCTATGACTCGAGAACACTTAACAAGAGCCAAGTTGATCACAGTTAAAAATCTTTTGACAGGCACAAGACTCGAGTAGGGAGCCGAACTAGGTAAGTTAAACTGTAGTTTGGGTTATAAAAGATGTCAGAAGATGGTTTAGGTTTAAGGTTCAAAGATTATTTCAGAGCAGTAGTTTCAGGAGTTTATCCTGTCTCCAAGACTCCAGAAAGACTGAATTCCACGGGAATATTAAATTTGGTTTCACATTTTGGTCAGGACTGTACTATAGCATCTTGATGATACTGTTCAGTAATGATAATGAGACAGTATCCGTTTATATGGCTTTCTTATGTGGATACCACTGAAATTGGATTTCTGGTTCTACTCCAGTGTGATTGCATCTTAATTGAATTACATCTGCAAAGACCCTTTTTTAAATATGGTCTGACTATGAATATCTAGGAGTCCTAGTGTAGCTCTGTAGGATCAGTATTCATCAGTTTAAACACAAGGTTGATAGCTTGAACCCACTAAGCCGTTCCTCAGAAACCCTTTGCAGGGTCAACTATGAATCAAAACCAACTTAACGGCACTAAACAAGAAATTAATTTCTAAGTGGGGTGATTGGGGAAAACACTCTTCAATCCAAAACGTTCATATTGTATCTGTTTCCTCACTCAGCATCCGTCTCTTTTTTCCTCATCCCAGTGTCTTCTTTCTCTGCATGTACCCCTTCTCCTCCTTTCCAGAGAAGAAGAGGGTTCTTGACCAAAGTCAGAATCTAAGAAGGGAACCCATTCTCATCAGTTTCCCTTTTGGTCAGGAGAGAAGGGACCTGCTGGTCACCACCAATGCTATTCTTGCAGAGAACCTCCCTCCACCCTCCCTATCTGTGCAGCCTGGCCCCTGGCTGATCAGAGGAGTGACGACCACGGTCCTCTGCCAAGGACCCATGAGTAGGGCGATATTTTCACTAGTGAGGGCAGGGCACTCCCAAGTCATCAAGAAGTGGATTCACGAAGAAGCAAAGGCCGTCTTCCCCATTGCTCTAGCTGGGAGCTACAGCTGCAGCTACACCACCACCGAGCTCCACGATACCTCATGGCCTCCCTCAGAGCCCAGTCAGACAGTGACCATTGAGGAGCTGGGTGAGCACATTGCTTCCCTTCAGAGGCTGAGATCAAAGGTCAGGAGACTTGGCTGAGGATGGAGGGGGTAGCCTATATAAAGGGGAACCACATTGTGGATGTAACCAGGAATGGTCCCCAGGGGAGAGCTAGAGGGAGGGACAGAGGCCAGGCCACATGATCTGATCCTGAGGCCCCATGGCAGGCAACACAAGGCACTGATACCCACTGTGTTCCTTCCAGATTTCTTCCCAGAACCCAGGATGTGGGAGGTTAGTACCAAAGAAATCCACAAGCCAGGGTCCCTGGTAACATTGTATTGCAGAACACCTTTTCCAGATGCAATGCCGATCCTGCTAAAGTCAGGAAACAGAGTGGAAAATGTGACTTTCACTACCAAAGAACCTGGGACATGTTACTTCAATTTCAACATTCAGGAGGGAGGCTCATACACCTGCCGCTACACACTCAGTAGCGTACAGACAATCTGGTCCAGGGACAGCCGCCCTTTGGAGATCTTCGTGAGCGATGGTGAGTGAGGGTGGAGTCCACATGAGCCCTTCAGCCAGGAGACTTACAGGTGAGAGTGCAGGAGCCAAGCTCTGCCTGGGAGCCTGCCCACTGGCTGAGAAACCTCCATTACACAGAGCCCTGCTATTGGCTGATGCTTCAGTAATAGTTCAGAGCTGAGGGGAGAGGAGAGCCAGAGGGCACTTACAGAGGGGCAGTGAGGATTCCGTGATGGGGTGTGTGTGCAGGGCCACCAGGCATGATACCAGAGTCCTGGTCAGACAGTAGCCCTCTCAGACTGGCTGCTAGAGTCTCAGGACCTGCATTGGGTCCAGGAGCTGGGTGTTCCCATGAAACCTGAACTCTTGGAGGGAGGCCTGCTCATGCGTCTTGAGTTGAAACTTTGAGAAATGAGGATTTCACATACCTGACTGGATCTCTATGGGGTCCAAGGGGAAATGATCTTCCTACATAAGATGCGGGTGCCAGCAATGTGGAGGTGAATGAAGAGGATTGAGGGTGCCAGGGGCCTATGGTGGTGCGGGTATATAGAAGACCCCAGACCACACTTCATATAGTGAAGTTGTGGCCTTACATTTGGTAAATGTCACATCCGGTTGGTGATGGCAGAGAAGCCTGGGGTTCCTGTCCTCACAAGTGTGGTTCAGGTGGGTCCTGGGGAGTCACCAGCAGGGGCTAGCAAAGTCCTTAATCCACCAGCAGCTTTGTTAGAGGAGAAATGCCTGCCCTCCTTGTTCATTGTTCAGGCTACAACACACACCAGGGTCAGGACAAACACTGGCCCCTTCCTGCCTTGTTCATTCCCATCTTTGGAAAGGTCCCTCCCCAGGAGGTAGGTTCCAATGTTACTTCTGTCCCCAATACCAAGTGGTTACAGGAACACAGTTCACATGACAAGGATGAGCTCTCCACATGTTGACCTTGAGCTGTAGGGTCCAGAGTGGATTCTGGTCAGAGTCCAAGACTGATTGCTGATCCGCTGCATCTCCCTCACCCCAGGCTCTCTCCCCAAACCCACTCTGTCGCTGGTGTCCAAAGACCTCAAGCTGACACCAGGCAGTGAAGTGATTCTGAGGTGCCAGGGATCCCTGGCTGGAGCCACTTTTGTGCTGGTCAAAGAGGATGTGAAGCGCCCCCTGCAGGTGGTGAGCGCGACGGGATCTAGCGTTGATATCAGCATCCCAGAGATCGGGGTCCACGTGTCAGGAAATTACAGCTGCCTGTACTTAAAGACCAGGAATGGGAGCTCGGGGTCCGGGCAGAGTGAGACCTTGGCACTGCGTGTAAAGGGTAAGACTGGGACAACAGTTGGAGCAGCTGTGACTCTTGTGACAAATAAGGGGGGCATGGGGTATCCCCAAGGCCCTGGATGGAGTCTCCCTTGTGTTGAGTGAAACGCAGCTGAGTCAGAGCTGGGGCTCCGCCCAAGGGCTTCCTGGTCCACAGCCCTCAGGCCCCAGAAGCAGCTCTGTGCCCTCTCACCAACCTCCAGGAACTGATCTCTGGACCTCTGGCCCTTAAACAGAGTCACTGTTTCCTTTCCATGAAGTCCTGGTTGTGTCTGCTTATTATTCATGCTTTTCTCTCTCTTTCTAAAAGTGTCGATGATTTGGTTTAGATCTCAGCATTGCCCAATAGAACTTTCTGGAAGGGTGGACATGTTCTATATCTGCGTTGACCAATGTGTTAGACACATAGCACACGTGGCTATTGATCTTTGTTATTTGACTATAGGCTTTAGTAAGTAAATATTGATATTTGAAATATATATTTTAGCATTCATTATAATTTATTATCATTTAATATATTCTACAAAACATAATTTTATTCTATCATTTTTATGCATAATTAAGGTTACACATTATAATTTTCCTTGCTGCCATCAAGTTATTTCCAACCCCCAGTGAGCCCACAGGTCAGATGAGAACTGCCCTTCAGGATGTGCAAGGCTGTAGCTCTTTACCGAAGCAAACTGCCTCATCTTCTCCTGAGGAACAGCTGGCGCTGTGCTAGGACTGAACTTGTGTCTAGCAGCCACTGCTAAACCCACTGCTATGAGACAGAATCAGCCCCTTGACAGTGGGTTTGGGTTCTTATATTTTCCATTACTGATATTTGTGCTGTATTTAAATGAGTGTAAGCCTCTGGGTGGTGTCTGCTGGAACTCAGCCCAGCCCTGGTGCTCCCAATGTTCCTTCTGCTACTTTGGTGTCCATTTGGAAGGTCTAAGGTTAGGGCTACCCTGGGCTTTTACTGATTGAATTTGGGTGCAGACAAAGTGAATATTCTCTATCAGTCCCAAGTCTCCCCTTGTGTCCTGAGCCCCTCAGGTGCGTGTTTGAGCCCTGAGGTGCTTGCTGTCCTCCCTGCCCTCCAGGTTTGATGCCCAAGCCCTTGCTGTGGTCTGTGTGGAGCAACACTGTGACCCCAGGCCGCGACATTCTGCTACAGTGCATGAGCCCTCTCCCCGATATGCGGTATGAGCTCCAGCATGAGGGGAAAGTGGTGATTCATATGGATTACCACTCACACAACAATATAGCCAACTTCCCACTGTTCAACGTGGGGCCCCAGCACGCAGGAAACTACAGCTGCCGCTACTACACTTATGATGGAAAATCGTATGTCAGCTCTGAGGACAGTGACCCCATGGAGCTCCGGGTGGAAAAGGGGTCACTGTGAGACATCACCTTTCCTCAAGGACAGTACCCACAAGCCCTCATCTCCCTTCTGTGTCCCCAGTGCCTTCTTTGTCCTTCCTGTGTACACATGGACACCCCCCACTCATTTCTGCAAATCTTCCCTGGGACCTCCTGAGTTCCACCCTACACTGCGAGCTGAAGGCACAGACGTTAGCCTGGTTTAGAAACTGAGCTGGCAAAGAAGAGCGTGTCTGTGCTCCAGAAATTGTTCAGCATTGAGGGTGTCTGATTGCTGGGGAATGCATTGTTAGGACTTCACGTCTGTTGTAAGGAGTCCATTCTGGACCAAAGACAGATCTGGTCTGTGCTTACACTCCTAGGAGGTCGCATCTCTGTCCTTGAGTGTCCTGTTTGATGACAGTGGTCGTCCATGTAACCATGTGGCTTATGGGGGTGTTGGTGGGTGGAGGTCTAGTCGTTGGTGAGGGGCATCAGTTAGCCTTCAGAGGGCTTGGAGACTGAGGCCAGCTGAGTGGGTCCTGTCTTGTGATCAAATGTAATGACGGTCTAATAGAAAGTCAGGCTTGGGTGAGCTTCCTTGGTTGACAGTACCCCATGGGAATTCTCCCACATCATTGCTACATAGAGTCAGTGATGTCTAAGTCACCATGGGGACAATAGAACTGGAAGGTCCCTATTTGAAACCCTCCTGGTCTCTGCCCTGTGGGTCTGTCTTCTGGGCTGATATAAATTTGTATTGATTTGCTGTAATAAATGGTAACAAGTATAACACCTTCCAATGTGTTTTGTGAGTCCTCTAGTGAACTGTAGATCTTGATGATGGTCTTAGTGAACCCTGAATTCTAAAGTTGATGTTAGAAGTAAGGGTGTTCTTGGGGACTTCTAATGTTGTAGTACTTTCAGACTAATAACCAAGGGAACTCATACAAATATTGAACTGTGTAATCAGTAGGGTTTGTTTTTATCCATTGTGTGCACTAGGAATTCATTACAGTTAGTTCTAGAAATGTGCAGATAAGTGGATATATACTAGATGAAAGGCACCAGGGTTTTCAAAGTCATAGAGGGGAGATGCAAATAACTAAGAATTGAATAAAGTCTGTGGTGTTGCCTTGATATTAGAGGTATAAGGATAGATTATTCTAAAAAATAGAGAGTGTGAGTGTTTATTTGTAAGTGCCCATGCATCTAGTTCCTCACTTCAAGCACTTAAACACAAGCATACTTCAGTAGTTCTGAACACACCTACTCCCAGAATTTAGTTGTTAAATATTCTCAACTAAAACAACCAGGGTTCATTCAAGGAATGGCTGATTCCAAGGGTAAGGCTGGGAAAATAACAGAGAGTATGAAACATCTTGTTATTCCATAAAATAAGAAAGTGAGCAAGATAGGACAGGCTATATCAAAATAACATAGACTCTAGCCTGAAGATAACTCGCTAATGAGATACGGGACAATATGTACACAAAATTTTAAAAATCATGGTTGTGTGTTATCCTTAACTGAATAGAATAAGAATTCATGAACCTATACTGTTATAAACAGAATAAAGATGGAGCTCTCTACTCCCATAAAGACTTACAGCCTCCGAAACTCTAAGGAACTAGTATGGTTACTATGAGTTGGAATCTAAAACCAAGCAAACAGGAAAGAAGAGAAAGGTCTTTATTATAGAAATGTGCCAGCCAACTAATAAAAAAAAATAAAAAAAAAAGGATGGAATTAGAAAGTCACGTTTTGGCATCGATAATACCATAATAGATTCAAGTAACTATGATCAATGATAGTGAAAAATAGATTTGGTGAAAAACAATGTATTTCCATAGACTTGAAGTCTTTTTTCATAAGAGTTTTATTAACTACTGTCATAGTTAGGGATTTTATCAACTTGACTGCACCAGGATTCTCAGTGGTCTTGCAGCTAAGCTGTATTAACCCCTCATCTTGAGATCTACTATAATGTAATCACTTCCATTATAAGGTCTGATATGAGCAGCCAATCAATGAAAGGAAGTTGCACAGGGGTGTGGCGTCTCAAAGCTTATATCTTACAACCGTTTATCTTATAAGAGATAAAAAGAGAGAAGCAAGCAGAGAGAAAGGGACCTATTACCACCAAGAAAAAACAGCCAAGAGTAGAATGCGTCCTTTGCAACTGGGCCCCTGCACGGCGAAGCTCCTAAGTTCAAGGGAAGATTAATGCCAAGAGGCTTGGAGATATTCAAAGAATGGAGGGCCTATAGGTGCTGAAAGGAGATAAGGAATTTCTCCCACACTCTATAAAGAGAAAGCCTTCCCCTAGAACTGACTCTCTGAATTTGACCTTCTAGCCTCCTAAACTGTCAGAGACTAAATTTCTGTTTGCTGAAGCTATCCATGTCTGGTATTCCTGGCATAGGAACACTAGAAAACTAAGACAATTAATAAAGGAAGAAATCTTAGCTGTGCAGTGGGATAACTCAGCCAACATCATCTAATCCAGGATACCAAAAACAACATTAATGAATACCTTACTAATCTTAATATAACTCCATTCCTTTTTCCTTACTGTTAAAAAATTTTATATCCTGTAGAGAAATTTTTTCCTACTTAAAATTCATGATGATGCTTTGCTATAATTTATTGTAAAACATGTTTTTAAAGAAATAATCTATATAGTTAGATCTGTATTCAATGTGCAGTTGATCTTTTGTATGGTGTGAGGTAGGGGTTAAGATTCACCATTTTCCTGCAGGGATATCCAATTTGCTGGAAAGGCCATCCTTTCCCAACATAACGGTTAACTGTATTTGTTTTCTAGGGATGTTATACCACAAACTGGATGGTGTAAAACAACAGAATTTTATTTCTTCACATTGTTGGAAGTTAGACGTTTGCATTAAATGTGTTGCCAGAACTGTACTCTCAGAAGTTTCTATGGGAAGATCTTTTTTTCTCCTCTTACACCTTCTGGTGGTTGTTGGCAATCCCTGATGTTTGTTGGTGTTTAGATGCGTTACTCCACTGTCTGCCTCCAGCTTTGCATGGCCATCTGTCCTCTGTATCCCTGCTTCTCCATGTTTATAAGGACACTATTTATAATAGAGGATGACCTCATGTTAACTTGGCCCATATCATCTACAAAGACACTGTATCTTAACAAGATCACATTCATATTTACCAGGGGTTAGGACTTCATCGAGTCTTTTTAGAGGACAGAATTCACTCGGCAGCACACACTTTATAAACAGGGCTCAGATCTAGTCATACTTAGGCAGGATGTCAGAGAAACCTTAACAGAATGGGAAGAATTGTTCATGATCCTTGAGGTATTTGGACATACATTGCATTCCAGCTTTTTTTTTTTTTTTTTTAATTTAAGGTTTTATTGAGGATTGAGTGAAAGTTTACAGGGCACATCATCAGTTTTACATTCAACAATTCATATACCTCTC